GTGTAAAGTTTCAAGTCGAAATTCGAAAATAAGTTTTTCTAATGTTCCTGAGGGGGCTACGGTATTCTGTTAAAATATTCTGGCATAAAGGGACTCGATCTTAATGAACCAATATCAAAGCAGTTATATACTACTAAGATACTTTCGTTTTACAATGTTTTCAGAGTGGGGAAAAATTAATCATTTTTTTGGCCACCCCATTTGGAAGAAAATAAACATAATAAGAAATTTGCGTTTGAGAAGCCATTCTAGAAAGTGTAGCCAGTCAGTTCATGGATTATAAGAAAAGTTTGAATGATTCTAGTCACGGAATTCTATGTGCGCAGTCTGAAATTCATTATTGTATTATTGGTCGATGCCAATCAAGAATTGGTTAATTGTTATGGAGCTCGAACCGTTGCTGATCTATGCAAGGGTACTTTGAACAAAGGTTCTGGTTTACCACCACGACCCGATTATAAGAATAACATGTGTGCAATTCAGACTAAATTCGACATGTTCATGGCCAATACTCGTAATGGAAGTTATGTGAATAGGTGTATTAAAGAACGTTTAGATATGTTCGGTGATACATTTTTTGTTAGTATGATTCTTGATGCACGATCTATGGCTGATGAAACTTTTGAAAGTAACGAACAGTACATCACTGATCTACCACAATGCGAAAATGAATACGTTAATCGATGGATTCGAGATGTTAATCAAAATGTGAATAGATCAGCCGGTTTTTATGAAGAAATCGATCCAAAATACCGTTCCTTAATCGGTATCGATAAAGTTCGACGACATATTCAACAGCGTTGGTTGAAGGTAGGACTTATTCTACACTTCTGATTCAGTATAATATTATTTTTAAAACATCAACTCCACATGTTTTTTTGAAATCGTAGTCCGCTCTATCCATTGCAAAGCGTAGGAACCTTGTTTTGGTACAACCTGAGAGAGTAATAGAGTATTTTATTCACGGTTTCTCTCGATCATATCTCTTCCCTTTTTTTTTCATTGGATACTTAAAAGAATATCGAAATAGGAATTAGTATAGAAGCAGAAGAAAAATGTGCTCAATCATTTTATTTCAATCTAGGAATTTTATCAAGCTGCACCAACTCTCAAAGCGACATTGAACCAGCAACTCACTTATGCGAATGATAAATATGATGCAATATTGAACGAATGCCGATTAGTTGATCCGACATTGATTCGTGAATCTTATTTGAGCTATTTAAATGATTTTCGAAAGACACTCGGTCAATATGCTGCATGTTTACCCGAAATAAATGGTTACTTTCCTGTTAAAAAATGCGGCACTACGTATCAAGAAGTTGAAACAGGCTTTAATAATTGGTCACGACGTCAACAACTTGTCTGGCGAGCTTATCTTAGCGATGCGCAATTGAAGATGCGTGCTAGTAGTGATGATACAGATGGTCAACACTTAATTGATCATCTTAATTTGAAACTTGTTGGTGGAAGTCAATTTGGTAGATTGCATCAAGTATTTATCTATATGGTTTTATCATTCAAACCAGATGAACTTACTCGAGATGAAATAGTTACACTAGAATCGTACTTATATGGAGGTTTGAGTACAAGTCCAAATGTGGAGAAAGTTATGCGTGATACGATAGTTCGTCTTATTCGACATACGTTTGCTATTGGTATTCCATGGTTTGCACAAATGCATACTTATTTAATTGATACTTTTCGAATCAATGTTACTCGATTATTACTTTCACAAAATCGCTATGCACATTTAGCTAAACATACATCATTTTTGAGGCTTGTTGAACTTGATTTTCATCGAAAAATGCGAGTAATGTTATCTAAAGCTGTTCAAGCTGTACGCAATACACGCCTATCTTGTAGTGCCTATGTTCATTATGATGCAACAGCATGGATGAAAAAATTAACATTTCGTATACCAAGTGAAATTCCACATGGATTTTATTCTCAAAATATACCGAACATCTATGTGAAAAATACAACGACAACAAATAAAACAACCAATCAAAATGATACATATCATGAAGCAACTATTGGGGATATATTTGCTAATATTAAAAAACCACATATACTGGATTTTATTTTTGGTTCTGATTCTTATTTAACAAATAAACGTGATCCTCGGACAGGTTCACATCATGATAGTGTACGTAAAGCTGTTCAAGAAATCTATGAAGTTACATCTGGTCGTCTAACGAACGATATAATTAGTCATTTCAATTCGAATGTAATCGTGGGTATTGTTAATTATAATCAAGTTGAAGCTTTTTCGACACGATCGATTGCTAATAAAATAGTTCGTACTTCCGACATGGATATTGTTCGCATGGCAAATGTTGAAATAGAAAAAATATTTGAAAATCTCGATTATTGGAAGCAACAAATTGCAGATCTTACACAAGCAAGTGTTCTACTCGATGCAGTGACACAACAATTGGTAGGAGAAACTAGTAGTCATGATCTAGAAATCGATGATCTAAAAGAATATGCTCAACGAAGTGCTCAAATGGCTATCGATTTATTGAATAGTCAACGTGAACGTATTAGTAAATCGTTTAATAAAACATCACTAACAGATAATCAGAATCAAAATGATGAGAAGAAATTCGAAATGATCGATAATGAAGATGATGAAACCTATGAAGATCGCATCTTTTTTCGTACGATTGACCCAATAACATCTGGCAGTTTTCTTCGACGTATTTATCAACATCATGATCTAGAAGATATACGTTCTAGTTTACTCGATGGTGATGAACTGGATCAGGACACCAGTACGCCGAAAGCAGAAGAGCATATCAAGTTAAATATCAATCCAACAATGAATGAATCAGAAGAACCATTGGTACAGACTGAAATTTCAAGAAAAGATCTTGGCAATGAACAAGAGAAAGGTAATGCATGTTTATCATTTTAGTGATCATTCTGGTCGCATAATATATGAGAAATACATAGTTTTCATCGTGATTTTTCTCGATTCCTGTTGGTATCGTTCAGTACCAGCAAGTTGCTTGCAATCAGATTTCAGTCAAGTTGTGTTTCTCTTTTACAAAATAATAAATTATAAAGTTGAAACTGAAAAGCTGATTTTTTTTTTCTAGATCATTTAAAAATAGAAAAAACAATATTTATAAAAAAAAAATGTCTATTTTAATGTCGTATTAATTTTAAATATTTATTTCTCTTACAAGTTCTTGTGCTATTTTTAGTCTCCTTAATAGAAAAATTACAGGCAAACTTCATACGACGTGGAAATAATCAATTGAAAGCCGACCAAGATGATACCGATGATTCAATGCTTGCCGGACGATCCTCACCTGTTCCAAGTAACGGAAGTGTTCAGAGTAGGTAAGTGACACATCTTTTGGTCGTAGAACACCAGAATCTTGAATCAGTGGAAGTAAGTTTCAATGGTTTTTCTCATTATTGTGAGACATAGTTGTTGGCAAATATTGAAATATATAACGAGGAAGTTCAATATTTTTTCCCTTCTTAGAAACTCTATCGAACATGAAGCTTTTGTAGGGTGAAAAACGAATATTTAACCATAGATTTCAGAATAATCTAATTCAGCAGAATTCCTAATTTTTTTTATTTTAAATAGATTTAAAGTCCAAGAACAATGAATATACTAATTGATTGAATTTCGATGTTGCTTATATTATCATATCCTTTCATAAGATCTTGTTAATTGGTGCAACGTGTTCAATGTTTTAAAAGAAAGGAATCGATAAGTGACGAAATAGAATAGTTCATGACTCTTATATGTATACCATATCCGAGCGTCAATGATAGTCAGCCATATTCATCTATTAATCTTATGATCAATTAGATCAATTTTTATACAATTTTATAGCGCTTTGAAATGCTTCAAAATGATATCAAATTATCCAAGAAAAATGCAGACCGATATGAGTTCTCGCAGTGCACATTACTCTCATATGCCCTTATTACAAGTATTGTCTACTGAAATTGTATGTCAAGACTAGTTAATCCTGTTACCCACCAGGTCAGTTTTCATATGAATCGACAAAGCTTTTCTATGCGCTACAAAATGACATAAAAAACATTTATAAAAATATTGGTCTCAAAACATGATTTTGATCGTTTTTGATGATAAATACTTGGTAGATTTTGATTAGAAAAACTACAATTTTGATAAAAACTGGTATGATATTCTGAATCAGCATCCAAAACTGAGTAGACTTGTGCGAATTTTAAATCTTGTTCGCGATTTTTTTTCTTCAAAATTTTTCTCCCCGGTCTTCCAGGGATAGGTCAAAAAATGAATTTCGTTAAAACGTTGTTTTACTTGTTTGAGCATCTGTTATTCTGGATTCTGCTATCATTTTACAACCTCAGAACTTGATTCCGATAGTTAAAACAACCTTTCCATGAGGTTCATTTTCTGACCTGTTCCTGAGGGATCAGGGGGAAAGTTTTCGAAGAAGAAAGTCGTGAAAAAGATTTAGGATTCACTTAAGTCTACTCAGTGCTGGATACTGATTCAGAATATTATACCACTTTTTATCCAAATTCTAGTTTTTCTAATCAAAATCTACCGAATATCTGTCGTCAAAAATGACCAATATCACGTTTTGAGACCAATATTTTTATCAATGTTTATATGCCATTTTGTAACGCATAGAAAAGCTCTGTCGATTCATATGAAAACTAGCCTGGTGGGTAACCGGATTAACTAGTCTTGACATACAATTTCAGTGGCTAATACTTGTAATAAGGGCATATGAGAGTAATGTGCACTATGAAATCTCATATCGATCAGCATTTTTCTTGGATAATTTGATATCATTTTGTAGCATTTCAAAGCACTATCAAACCGTATAGAAATTGATCTAATTGATCATTAAATTAACAGATGAATAAAGATGATTATCATCAACGGTCGAATATAATATGCATACTAGAGTCATGAACTATTTCAAACGATCTGACTGCAGCCGAAACAAGTGCAATAAAACTAATTACTAGCAATCACTTCTGAACATCTTGAATGGGGGTTTTACATGAACGAAACCAAATTTCTCGAGGGGCCGATTTCATCGCTTATCAAGTCCTCCTTTATTTCTCTAGAAAATTTCATTTCAGTTATTAGTAACTTTCGACTAGGAGACTTCAATAGGTTAAGTAAAGAAACATAGTCTCATCCGTCAATCATCAATTATTCAATGATCTAATGAATGTTTGTTTAATTTTAGTGGTTCTCGATTATCGACATTTCCGCCAAGCAATACTTTCATGAGGCGCTCTCCTCGACTCTCTTAGATTAATTTTAAAAAATAATTTGATTTATTTATCATATAATCAATCTTTACTTGACCTATTCGACATTGATGAATCGTCAAAAAATTTCATTTTACTTCATCAACATTGTAATTGAATCGTGTTCAAAGTTGATTGTTTTTCTATACTCTATTCTTTTTCTTATTTTTAATAAATGTAAATCTATACAACCAAGAGATTGGATTTTTTATCGAAGCCAAACTACTGTCTGTTTTCATTATGTAGAAGAGGTACTCAGTAGACACTTTATCAATCTATATTGAGCTCGATGCTCTTCATGATGCCCTGTTTCTTTTGACTACTGAACGCTTGAAATTTCGAAATGGGAGACTATTACGATTCCTCTTTTATCAAACTCACTATCCAAATGAATAAGTGTCAATTTCAATGCAAGTTCCTAGGATTCCTTCTCCCCCTCATTCTCCACAGACAACGATGGCTGTAAATGAATCGACAGCAGACTGACCCTATGTGTTGAATGAAAGACAAGTCCAAACTGCTAGTCTCGACTTCTGCTTTTCAGCAACCCATATTTTTATCGATATAATAAATATTACAAATTCTGTGCTTAATTGTAAATAATGAATTAAATACAGAGTTTAATTCGCCGACGCATTTCATGTCGTTTATTTTAAAATTGAACACGCATCAGGGCTATGCATTATAATTTTAAGCACAAGATCAAAAAAAGGATAAAAGGGAACTGCAAATGGAAAAAAAGAAACAATAAACGGAATAGGGGTGTGTGGAGGTGATCTATGTGAAGCTAGCACAACACGACGAATGACCACGACGGGAGAAAAAAGTCTATTGGTCAAATCATCGACCAATCAGAAATTAGACAAACGTAAAACATCAGAATGGAGGTTCATAATTTGAATATGGCGACCCTTGCCAACGGGATTTTTAAGCCCAACATCACCATATTCCAAAGATGTATTTTTTCTATATTCCCCCTAAACTGCTAAAAACAAAACGATACAGTCAGAAAAGAGACAAAAATGATTCAAATATATGCTGTCGGAGTACTGCAAAAGCTATTTTCTCCCTTACTGAATATCACTCGAAGATAAATTATACATCATTTGATGTAGAATTTAATTCTGCATTGAATGATATATAGCTGATAGACGGGAGATATTCATGAAGCGAGAACCATTGAATCCGAATATCGATACGATGGAAAAAAATGTGCCGTTGAGATATGTTAACGCGTATCTTCTCCCTTCAGAAATATCTCCCGATCATGAGTTATATATCATTTGATGTAGAATTTAATTTTGCATTGAATGATATATAAGCAGTGGACAGGAGATATTTATGAAGCGAGAACCATTGGATCCGAATATCGATGCAATGGAAAAAAATATGTCATTGAGGTATTTCGACGGCTATTTTCTCTCTTCTGAAATATCTCCCGCAGATGAGTTATACATCATTTGATGTAGAATTTAATTCTACATCAAATGATGTATAACTCATCTGCGGGAGATATTTTCGAAGAGAGAAAATAGCCGTTGTAATACATCAATGGCACCTTTTTTTTTTTCTGCGGATTTTCCGATCCAATGGTTCTCTCTTCATGAATATCTCCCGTCCATCAGCTATATATCATTCAATGCAAAATTAAATTCTACATCAAATGATGTATAACTCATCTTCGGGAGATTTTTCTGAAGGGAGAAAATAGGCGTTAACATACCTCAACGGCACATTTTTTTCCATTGTATCGATGTTCGGATCCAATGGTGCTCTCTTCATGAATATCTCCCGTCCATCAGCTATATACCATTCAATGCAGAATTAAATTCTACATCAAATGATATATAACTCATCTTCGGGAGATATTTCAGAAGAGAGAAAATATGCGTTGACATACGTCAACGGCACATTTTTTTTCCAGTATATCGATTTTCAGATCCAATGGTTCTCTCTTCATGAATATCTCCCGTCCATCAGTTATATATCATTCAATGCAAAATTAAATTCTACATCAAATGTTGTATAACTCATATTCGGGAGATATTTCAGAAGAGAGAAAATAGCCGTCGAAATACCTCAATGGCATATTTTTTTCCATTGCATCGATATTCGGATCCAATGGTTCTCGCTTCATAAATATCTCCTGTCCACTGCTTATATATCATTCAATGCAAAATTAAATTCTACATCAAATGATGTATAACTCATGATCGGGAGATATTTCTAAAGGGAGAAAATAGGCGTTGACATACCTCAACGGCACATTTTTTTCCATTGTATCGATGTTCGGATCCAATGGTTTTTTCTTCATGAATATCTCCCGTCCATCAGTTGTATATCATTCGATGCAGAATTAAATTCTACATCGAATGTTGCATAACTCATCTTCGGGAGATATTTTTGAAGGGAGAAAATAGCCGTCGGAATACCTCAACGGCACACTTTTTTCCAGTGTATCGATTTTCTGATCCAATGATTCTCGCTTGATGAATATCTTCGGTCCATCAGTTGTATATCATTCGATGCAGAATTAAATTCTGCATCACATGATGTATCACTCATTTTCGGGTGGTATTCAAGAAGAGAGAGAATAGATTTTGGAATACTTCGACTGCAGATGTTTGAACCATT